CTTTATCCAGAAATCCTACTAAAGCAGTTTACTCTGGAGATAACACCCCACAAGTATGAAACCACATATTCTCAAAGGTTTTGTTACATTATTTCCAGTAGCAAAATATTGGAAATAATTCAGATGTCCAGTAAAGGACTGGTAAAATGAACTGGTGTATCCACACAGAGAAGAACTATGGAGCTGTAAGAAAGCCCTCTCCTGCTATGACTTGATCTCCCGAGTGTGTTACATGAAAAGAGCAAGGAGAGAACATACGGTAATCTACATGACAGAAGCAGGAAAAATAATATGTATTTGCTTATTTAAAGAAAAAAAATTCTTGCTGGTTGTGTGACTATTAATCACACACACAATGGCTTTCCTTAGTGGGTAACCAAAGCACTGTTTGCCCAAGATGATATCTGGGTGTGGGTAATGAGTGGACATACACTTACCTGTGAAATGCTAAGTATTCACTTTTTGCTTTTGAGTTAATTGTGAAAGCTTTGTTTTCTCATGTATGTTGATTTATATAGTATATAGATTGCTCTTGGATTTCATTTAATCCTTACAAACAATGTTTTGAGTTAGGTAGTGTAGGAATTATACTCAGGTATAAATTGAGTTGTCCAGGACTTTAAAAATGAGACTTGATAGATCAGGACTGTAAATTCCAAGTATGTGGCATATAGGAGCAGAATTTTTTTTTAATTAATTTATTTTTTTTTGGAGCAGAATTTATGATGACTCATTATGTGAGCTGCTTTGGATACTATCTTTTTTCCTCATCTTTTTTTTTTTTTAGTATATTAAAGTAGTAAAACTTTAGAGTTAAAACAGTAATGCTGCATAATATTGAAATGAAATGGAGGTAACTTGCAACCCAGAAAGTTTCTTAACAGTCCAAGCAACTGAGCAAAGTGCCCTTCAAAAATATATAAAGGAAGACAGGTACACTTAACTACATGTCACATCTCAGTCATGGTCGCTAAAACACAAATTGAGGGTTCATATAAGGTAAGACTGAGAAGCAAGGTAGAGGCAGGCACAGAAGCAGTTGGAAACCAGAATTTGGAAGTTTGGGATTCAGGATGTCAGAAGCTAGGAAAGCAGAAGCAAGGCTCAGGCACACAGTAGACTAGGGGTGCAGGAGCACACTGCGTGTGCTCTGGTGGGACAGCCCAGCTCAGGGCCCTCCGGGATAAGTACCTGATTCGGGTGGAAAGTGTGGGTTCAGATAAAATCATCAGTTTACACAGTAATTGCAAGACTTGAAATGTTTGTATTATGAGCCATGAAACGAATACACTGTACAGTATAGGGATGATGGGGCAGTTCAGTAAACTCAGTAAACCTTTAAACTGGTGCCCAGTATTGGCCCAGAACTGCTGACCTGTTCTGTTTAGTTGGAATATATTGACATCAATATGTTTAAATCAATCTCTTTCTGAAATACACTGCTTCTGTCATATAATTTCTTGGTCAGTGCCCTCTCCTAATATTTTGACAAGGGAAAATCATTTATTGACAGTTTCTGATAGCATAATTTTAACACTTTTAGCCTTTAGTAATGCATTTTATTTATTCTAAGTTGCTTATATTTTCACACTTAACATCTGCAATTGAGATTGAGATTGATTTTAGAACTGATAAGAATCTTAGATTGGAGGAAAAGGAATATTCAATGTCAGTGGTGTTTTACAGATTTCCTCTGAAGAATATTTACTTTAAGACCTGGGTTTAATTTTTTTCTAATCATGCTTCTTCTACATTGACCTATGATGTCAAATAAGTTGCAGTTTAAATTGACAATACGAAAGTGATCAGTCCTAAAATAGTTTTAATCATAACCCTTAATCATGAGCTCAAGAATATTTCTCCTGAGTTAAAATATTTGTAGAGGTTTGTAAAGAAATAATTTTAGGAATAATTCATATATAAGATGCACAGTCATTTCCTGAAATCTAAATTATTGTGTGTGCATGTTGAGGGGGAAATGGAGGATGAGAGGGATGGTGGCTGGTAATGCTTTGCTTAGTAACTGGCAGCTTTAACTTGCAGATAGTGAAAAGAGTGTAGTAGGTTTTACCATCGTCTCCTTAGGCTCTTGGGAAAACAGTTACTGGAGAGTGCAGAAATACTATGTGTATGAGTTTATTGTCTAATGACTTACATGTCCATTCTATAAAAGAGTGATGCGGTGTTTTTAATTCGCAAAAAGTGCAGGTTACACAGAAATTGTTATAGGCTGTGAACAGAAGATTAATATTTTCTGACAACTTCATGCAATTGACAACATTAGGGCCCTAGTATGTACACACATTACCTTACAAATGATAGGCAACTGGTGAAAGTGGAAATAACACTGTTAACTATGGAAAAAATGGTCAAAACTGTGTAATCAAAAGGAATACAAATCAGATCCACAGTGAGGGTCTTCATTCGTATCAGTAGGAATTTTTTTCAAGTATCCAAAGCTGGAGTAGGAACAACTGGTATGATTGATAGCATTATACACTAATATGCCCCCACCTTCTTTGGAAAGCACTTGAGCACTGTACATTGAGCCATGAAAAAGAGCTAACCTTTTGGCCTAGTGATCCCACTTTTGTAGATCTTTGCTAAGGAGATGAAACCATTATTTAAAAAACTATATACATGAAGATTTTTCCTTATGTTTTAACAATAGAACTTTGTAAGCAGCTAAACTCCAGCAATAGGAGATTGGCTAAGTATAGTATAGGAATAACACTTGATGGGTCAATATGTCTTCATTAAACAGTAAATATGTAGCAATGGGCTGGAGAACACTTATTAGTAACAATAAGATATAAATTGTACACTAATTAGGGCTTTTTTTCTTTAATGTATAAGAAAAGTAAAAGTAAAGGTTGTGAGTTTATGGGTTAGTTTTTAAACAGAGCATTGTTTTGACTCATGCAGATTTCTGTTCATGATAAGATATTTATCAAAGGAATGAGCAAGTGACCTTTATCTGTCCCCACCTTTAGTGGGGTCATCAATACTGCTGATGAACCAGGTCTCTTTCAGTTGCAAATTGCAGAAAATCTATCTCAGGATAGCTTAAATTAAATTAAAATAATAAGTATTGACTTGTATAACTGGAGTTCACAGAGTAAATTTAGCACTTCTTGACCAGGAGTTAAATGATCTCTCCTCAGAGCCTGTCTCAGGTCTGCTCTCCTCTGTTGATCTCTCCTGAAAGGGCTTTCCTCTCATGAAGGCAAGAGGAGCGTCCAGCAGCCCCTGCTAGCTAGGGGGAGTGCCAGATTTTTTATGGTCACTTGGGCTAATTTTGCTTTTTTTTTTTTTTTTTTGCTAATTCTTCATGTTATTTCTTTTATCCCAGCTTTCTTGATTTTTATATTTAGATCTTTAGTAGCACATCTTGGTTTGGGGGCAGAGAGAGAGAGAGAGGAGTGTGTGTGTGCACACGTGCGTGCGTGTGTGTTTAAGCCTGCTCATCTTTGATTCTGGTACTTAACTTTTCCTGGGCTTTCATTGAAGATTGTTAAATTTTACCATACCATAGACACTGAGAAGTAACATGGCTACTTTGCAAACATTTCTGCTTATTTTTTAGATTCAAATGTAGTCTGCTTTCTTTTTGATAGGAAGTACTCATGAATCCTTTCAGAAGCCTTAGGATAGAGGCAGCTGTGTCAGTCTCTGCCTGTCACTTTGTATACAACTGAATTTATTTTCCCAAACAGCTAACATTGTCTCATTTTTCAAATATGTATGGGGGAAAAAACCTTTAAAATAATTGTATGGGTCTTTTACATAAAAATGTTTAATAGAATGGTTTCTCCAAAATCAGCTTAATAAACTTCAAATTTAGTGAAGGAATTTTCATGAAGAACAAAGCAAGTTATTTTAGCTATGTAAATTTCTAGTGCTGGCAATAGCATTAAAATGGATGGCTCAGATTGCTGTTAAACCAGGAAGCCCCAAATTATTTTTGTGCAGGATTCAAGCTGTATTACTTGCAGGGGAAAAGGATTCTAGGTGGATACATTTGTGAAATGCTGAGTTAGACAGTATTCACTACTTAGACTGATGAGTTTTTAATATATCAATGTGTGTTTTCTTTTGATTTTCTAAGAGCCAGGGATGTAGTGTATTATTTGACCAGCAAACCCCCTTTTTAAAAATAGAACAATTATCATATAGTTTGGGAAATAGTGCCTTAACTTAACCATTCCTCTATATCTGGATCTTGGCCCAGTTTCTCAAAAGATTGGTTAAATGGTTTGAGATGGACTTTACTGAAGTGGTGTCATAAGGGTTTTTGTTTTTATGTTTGTTTTAAACGACAACTTTACTCTCCCATATGATAGCTTGTACATGTTTTGTATTCCTGCCTAAGTGGACGACTGTCCCACCTTGGTGCACAGTGGATTGTAGACAGACACATCTTTACATTGGTATGACCGAAATTATTTTCAAGCAGCCCTATGATCTGCTCCAGAAAGTACTCTTACTGAAGCCCAAGTCAGTCACGCAGCATGGAAAGAAGAAGTGGAAGTTTAGCTTTGGAAATAGAGGGCGAAGTTAAAAATAACTTTCTATCGTGGAAGTGTTCCTATAGATTAAAACATTGAACTTTTATGCAGTCCTCTTAAATCTGCCATGATGAATAACCCCCAAATAAACCGCAGCCAACTAAATGAATTCATTTGTTGAATGGAGTTAAAATTTCCCATTTGACTGTCTAAGAACATTTCCCATATTTTTGGCATATTTGTTACACTGAGCTGGTATCTGACAATTATTGGCCACAGCATTACTTACTTCTTGAGACTGTTCCTGGAATGTGCTAGTAATATCAGCATAAAGGAGGGGGACTGAATTTTTAATGGATAAGTAGGAGGGGAGTCACATATATGATTCATCTGAAAGTTGCATAGATTATTTAAGTGCAAGTTAAAAAGTCTGGAACAAAGCCCTGGTTTTATTCCACATGTATGGAGAGTTTCTGCAGTTTTGCTGTTTCCCAGTAGAATTTTTATATTGCTGCCTTTACTAAAATTGCCTTTTTGTCATTACAAAGCTCTTCTCAAGACTGAAAGCTCTTCTCAAGGCTATTAAAAGTGATTAAAATTAATGTGCAGCTATTTTAAAAATCGTGTTTTTCTACTCAACTAAATTATCACACCTCTCTCTCTCCTTCCTGTATAGACCTAGCTTTGGAATCAAACCCTTCTGACCACCCAAGGGCAAGCACAATTTTCCTGAGCAAATCTCAAACGGATGGTAAGACAGTATTTTTTTTCCCCTGAGAAAAAGACTGAAAACTGATTTGTGTATTACAGAAAGTATTGAGAAAAACTCTTAGAGTGGTTTAAATGTTTCACTTTTTCACATATTCATGTGTCTTATTTTAATATATAAGGATACACTTTCCTTTAGCTGTCACTGTTTTAGTGAGGAGAACACTTAGACTATCTGTTTATACATTTTGTCACCTCTTTATCAACATAGTTAGCTGGCCACATGATTACATGTGGTCTGTTTCTCCATCCTACTTTGTCCTTTTCCCCTTGCACCAAAGAGCATGTGTGTTAAAGGTGAATGATAGGGTTTAGGTCACAGTTAGGTTTTCATATGATCAAATCAAAAAAGTCAGTTGTTTACATATGGGCATTGAGTCTTGTGATTTTGGCCCTATTTCACACAATGCTCAACCAGACAAGCCTGTCTCACATCCAGATTTATGCTATTCAGAACTTTAAGTTACTCAAAACTTTCTCATCCTAATGTAGTGCTGTGTCAGGGTAATCAGAGCAAACCTACCTTGGATTTCCCCAAATATTGTCCTCAGCATGTAAAACTAGTATAAATCTCCTGTGTCCTGTTTGTTTTAAAATGAGAATCAGAACTGTAGAATTTTTTGCACTCCTGCCTTCCTGCTTATTTTTCTCAATAAATCCTAGTTTATTTGCTAAGAAGCCATACATGACCAAGTTTTTCAGTTGGTTAGGACAGCAGGAATACAAGAATTGAGTGTCTTTTTAAGAGTAATGCAAAAGGAAAGTAATACAGCACAATTAAAAATGGAGGGTTCTTTTTGTTTTTCTGTTAGATCACTAGTTTATTATAAAAGGATGTAGCTCAGGAACCACCAGATGGAAGAGATGCAGATGCCAGGCCCAGGGAAAGGGCGCAGAGCTTCCATGCCCTCTCCGAGTGCACCACGTGCTCACCACCCTTGGAAGCTCCTGGGGTTTCTGACTTGCATTTTTATAGCATGTGTACTTTGCCTGTCTTGAGCTGATCATTTCTGGTTAGGATTGCTGTATTTCTCAGTTTCTTCCAGAACCATGGGCTGCTCATATAGAGAGAGACTGGAGACAGGAAAAGAAAAGCTATCTCGTGCCCTTCTCTCTCTTCAGTCTTAAGGAATCGTGCCTATGATGCTTGTCCCGAGTTGAAGGGGGTGGTGTGGGAAAGAGTGTGGCCCAAGACCCTCTTGAGGCTTTTATTCTTCTGGCTTTTGCTGGGGCAGAACAGTTTTGTGTGCTATAGATATGTTCAGTTAGGTCAGCACACTCATTTTAAAATTTAAATTTAAGATAGGTTACTTTCCGGTTATATGAAGACTCATTTTTTTTTTTAGTTAAGTATTTTAGTAAGTTACCAATAAGTGGTTCAGGTTCCTTCCAGGGATACAAGTGCACTTAAAGATGGGTACCTGGCCAGAAACTGGTTCTTAGAGTTATCATCTGTTAGATCCTGGTAATTAAAGTAAGCTGTGTATAAATGTAGAATTAGAAAATACTACTGGGTAGTGATTCAGATATGCAACAGGTAAACTTCTTTATTAGCTAAATTTCTCACCTGGCCTAATTTGCTTTGCCTTTTTCTTTTTTTTTTTTCTTTGTAAATGGAATCTTTCATTTGTACCTAATGCAGAATATCTGTTAGGTCAAAAAATAAAAAGAAGTTTTTAGATTTTATTTATATATAGGACTCATCTTTTGTCTTCTTAGGTGATTTAAATTCTGTATCTTGTTGGAAATTATTTTTAAAAATAGAATGGAATTTTATCTCATTTTGTATATTGATAATCAGTCAGATAATTAGCAACTACTTTTATTTTTATATGGCATTTGTATCAGAATTGATCAGTTAATTTTTTTTATTCTTAGTGCGAGAAAAGAGGAAGAGCAACCATTTAAACCATGTAAGTAAACAGTTGAAAAGTTAAGAAGTTAATAGTTTGAATTAAAAGTATGTCTGCCATGATTCCTAAAAAGTTATAATGGATCCACTATTGCTAGCATGGACCTCTTTTTGTAGATTTTCTAAATCTCTTCTATTTTCCTAGTTGTCAGACGTATTTGGGAAAGTCTTTGGCTTAGTAGTGCCCGTTTTTAAAGGGTTCTGATAGGTTAAATTTCAATAACATGGTTGTGTTATAAAGATCTGCCTTAAATTCTTTTGCCTTAATTTGTTAATCTTATTTTTCAACCAGAATAATAAAAGTAGAATAGGTAAGTTAATTTTTAGCACTATCCATTGACTTCTTTTCATAGCAGGTAAAAGCTTAGCTTCCTCACTCCACCATGACCTTATTTCTGTCCCTGTCCCTCTGTTCACTCAATATGTGTCACAGTTTTTATTGTCAGAATGTTTATGTTATTATGACTATGCAAAACTGTTCACTGCTGAGCCATGTAGTTCCTGAATATGCCTCCTCCTTGTGTACCCTTCATTCTTTTTCTTAAATATTAATGAAACCTGAGCCCTTCTGCACTTCTGGATAATCCAGCCCCCCTTTTCCTAGCCAACATGATCTCACACAGCCAAATGGAGTAAGTAGCTTCCTGGCTGGTCTCCCTGCATTCTTCATTTTTTTGTGGAATTAATTTCCTGACTGTATTCACTTGCCTGTTTTCTAACAGCTATTTTTTCCCCCAAATGTTGTAACATTTGTCACATGCCTGTCAAAAATATTTTCCATCTACTAAACCACATCTGTTCCATTTTTTTCTTGGAGACACGCTTCCCAGGCCTTTTGTCATCCTACCCCCATGCAGACTGGTTTTCCCCTAGGCCGGCTTTGTGCCTGTTTTTCTGGGATATCTGTTTGAAATCATCTGGGATCTCACATAACTGCTCTGTTGTGTTGGATCCCCTACGTCCTAGATTCTGTGTTTCCCTCTGTCTTGTTATACTCCCCTTGTTTTACTGGAGCACATTGTCCTGGGAAAAGAAATAGAGGCAGAAATTTTACAGAGATCTAGCCTCTCTGAAACTCCTGTTTGATAAAGTATAGAATTCTAGGTTGAAACTAATTTTTGCAGTTCCAAAGACGTTTCTCTTGTCTTCTCATTTCTTTTGTCATTCTCAACACTTCTCATTTACAGTGTTTCTTTTAAATCTGTTGACAATGTACATTATGAATTTTATTCATTTTCCCCCATCCGTTCCTTCTCTGGAGCCTTTTAGTACCTTCTCTCGCCCTAGCATTCTGAAGTTTCATATGGTTTGGTAGAGATCATTTTCATTTTATGGGAGCCATTAAATAGGACATCTCTCCTTCTAGTGAATTTTTGTGTTTCTTTGATATTCTCTGTTGTTTTTTTTTCCTGGATTCCTATTAGTCAGATGTTGGAACTCCTTAGACCAGTATTCCTGCACAGATCTCTAATTTTCTTTTCCCCTATTTTCCATTTTGTCTTTTTGTCCTCTTCCTGGAGATTTCCTTAACTTTATGCTCTAACCCTCCTATTGAATGCTTCATTTTGTCTATCTTATTTTTAATTTATAGAGTTCTCTTACATCCTGTCATTCTTTTTTTCACTGATGCAAATTCTTATCTTTCTGTGGAAGTTAAAGTTTTTTTTTTTAAGTTTTTCTTTTGCTCCTGAATTTTATCACTCCCATCAATTCCTTCTTCCTGTTTTAATCTCTTGTTGGAGGCTTCCCTCAAATGTGTGGTGGTCCCTGACTGTCTTAAGTTCTAATTGGAAGCATCATTTAGAGGACTCATTAACTGATGGGCCTCACTGCAAGGATTTAGGGACCAAGCCTCTCACTTTGGAGCCTGCCTTGGGTTCTGTAAGACAAACTGATTTTCTTGTTCCTGTCTCAGTCACGCTCTGTAGGTACTGAGGTTGTGCTTCCTCTGTTCTGCCATGCCCGTTATCACTCCTTTATCTAGTCTTTTTTTATCTTTCAAATATTAAAAGTCATCTGCAGTTTGTCCTGTCTTATGTATAGCCCTTTTTTTTAATGCCTTTAACTCTAATGAGATAATATCTCTCAAAGAAGGTGGAGCAGAAATAGATTTGTGATCAGTCCCCCACGTTTAACTCAAACTTAGATTTACACTTTAAGTATAGGTTCTAAGTTTAAATTTTAATTCAATAAATTCATGATATTAGTTTGGCAATTTTTTATGATACCTGTATAATTAAAATATTAGACTTTTCTACTAAGAACTTTGTTCAAACCACTCATCCTGTCATATTGTCCATTAATGTGCAACATAGATGGAAAAATTTTCATTAATGCAGAATGTTAACAAATTTTTAAGTTAATTAAATGTCATTGATTCTTAATAAACATATCCAAAACTTGTCCTGTGAAAAAGAGGAGAAAAAAGTAAACTTCAGCTTTATTTTTTAAAGAGTTAAAATCAGAGGCAGTAGGCACAATGGTAAGTCTTTGGGTGGGGACAGGATTTCAACAGGTACTTGACCTTTAATGATAAGTTTTGTGGGTGGTTACTTATTAGCCTTGTCCATATGATTATTTTCTGGTCTTTGCCATTAAACCCAAAGTCTGCTAGTAACCCTTTCCTTTTCATGTAAAGATTCTAAAAGTTCATCTATTCCATCATTAGTGCTGAATAAAAATAAACACGCTTCCTCAGCGATCAACTGAAGTAATATCTATGAGCATTAAGCTGTCAGTAGTGTTTTTTGCTGTTTGATTTTTCTTTTTGTATTTGCATTTTATGTTCTTAATGTTCGTCAGTGTAGTTTATTGAGGTTGTGAGCCAGCAGTGGTAAAGCATGAATCATAAAGGACAGTTATCTTCAATTTTCAAGCAAGATAAGGGGAAAGTAACCTCTGGCAGCTAGTATATCCTGACTTTGCTCAGAGGCCTAATTCTGCCATCCTTCAGTGAATACTAGATACTTAATGCTGAAACGTTTCAGTAGTTTTGAGTAGGCCTGGACTGATGGGGAATTGAGTGTCTCTTTGGTAGGATCTAGCAGGTAGACTGTAAGTTGCTGATGCACTAAATGAGCCTGTGAAGGACTGTAAGACCACGTCTAATGAAAAATGTTTAATGTTTTAGCATGAGTATTTCTAAAGATAAAACCAATATATATTCATAATTTTAAAAAATTTAATAGAGGAAAATGGGATAAATATCACCCAGAGCTCTACCAACTAGTCTGTATTTTGGTGCATTTCCTTACTGTTTTTATTACCCTCATAGTTAGGTATTTGGTCAGAATTGACTTTTATTATGTGTAGTTTATGCCCTATTACACCCTAATAGTGACCTTAAAAGATAATCTTTTTTAGAATAAAATATTTAAATGAATGAATGCTCATTTTTCATGCTGTATTTGTTTTCTGAGATTCTAAAATTACACATTAACCAGTTAGCTTAAGGAACATATCAGAGTTTTAGGTACAGTTAAAACATCTCTAGCTTGAGGGAGAAATTAGTCCTCCAAATAGTGATTCTTTTCAAATATGTAACGTCTGGAACTTTTTGTTAATATAAAGGAATAAGTGGTTTTGCAGTAAAACATCTGAAACAAGCAAACTGGTGTTTTATATGCCATTTGGATATTTCTAATTATTGGTTACCAGCAAATTTTATTGAAATGCTCTGTATTTTAAAAAGCGGACTAGATTTTCTCCCTGCTCCACGTTTTGTGTGTCTGTGGAGGACACTGATAGGAGAGTGTGACAGCGTGGTGAAAACTATTTATATTAATAGGAGGAAGGAAGGCTCATCTGAATTAGTCAAACAAAAACCGGAAACAAATCCAAGCATTAAACTTGTTTGTATTCTGTGGTATCAAAGAATGATTACTATTACTTTCAACTGCTGACAGTGACTGGGATTTGGTTATTAGCCTTACTTTAAGGAAGAGGATTGTCCTAACATAGTTTAGGCGAATTTAGTATTTGACCATTGCTATCTTCTTGGGCTCCTCACAAATAAATGGATACTTCTAAAGTGTTTTAAAGATAGTTTATTCTTTAGAGGTTCTCAAAAAGTTCATTGTCTCCAATACGATTGCAGATAAATTCTTACTAATTTGTATCTTTAGGAAAATTTACCTTCCAGTGGTGACTTGAATTTGTCAAACACTTGTTGAATCCTGATTTGTCTGAGATTCTGTGCTCAGCAGCTGGAGATGGGAGGAATAAGTCTTCCCTTCTCTGGAGAAGCTTGCTTACGTAGGAGTGGATACCTGCAAGCAGTTGAGACCGTGTGACAGTTGGTAAACTAGATGTGTGAGTGTACAGAAAGGGAGTGTTGTGATTTGGCTGCAGGCAGAGGTATCCTGGAGGTAGATGGGGTCAAGCTTGCAGAGATGAGGGTGGGGAAAGGGCAACATAGGTGCAGAGCAGCATGACAGACAGGAAGGTGTCGTGATGAGTGTCAGATAACATATAGAACAGAATTAACACAATTTTGGAATGAAGGTATTCTCTGAGGTCCTCACTTGAGTAATGTAATGGCAGTCCTACTTAAACATGAAGTCAAAGTTGAATTCTCAGAGTTGTTTCATCTGTTTTTTGGAGTGAGAGAACCTTAAAGTATACCCTTTTGTCCTCCAGATAAGGAAATTGAGGCCCAGAGAGACTTAACAGCCCCCAGCTTGTTAGTGACAGAGCAGCTCTGGCACACACAGCCTCTGATGCGAAAACGTTTTTGTCACACTGTCTCCTGAACTAATACATTTATTTTTGGCATTCATTTACTGCAGTGAAATGCTCTTGCATCAATATTATATAAGGCATTACATTTTATTGTAGTAAATGAACAGAAATAGAAAACCTCAGCTGCATTTCATTGCTTAAGAAAAAAACACTGACATCTTATTCTGAACTTTTTACATTATTATCAAGGTAATCTACGATAGGTGCTTGCCAGGTTTGATTATAGGTTCTATAACCAGGGCCACATTTTATAACCCATTCCTCAAATCTCATCTGTGGAAGTTAGCATATAGAGGTTTCCCATAGAGCTGCACATACCACACCCAAGCAGTTCATGGAGTGTAAGAAAAATCTTAATGCTTTATCGTTTGACATTTTAACCAAGGAAAAAACACACTTTTATAGGTTTAACTTACTGTGACATTTTCTTCTATTTCCCTTCCCCTTCAGGTATCTCCAGGGCAGCTTACTAAAAAGTATAGCTCATGCTCAACCATATTTCTAGATGACAGCACAGTCAGCCAGCCTAATCTTAGAACCACAATAAAATGGTGAGTACAACTAGGTTGCCAAGGGCTGAGTGACAGACCCCCTTATGCTAAAAGCAGCCTAGCCATACGTAATTTCTTTCATTTGAATTGTCCTTTTCAGTGATCAGGTTAAGAAAACTGGTGTCAACTATATATTGATTTCAAGGACCTAAATATAAATTTTCAATTTCCAGTTAGCAAATAAAAAGTTCCGGAAAAAGTATAAATCTTTATTTGATGCATTTCTGTTGTTAAGACATTGTTGAACATAATGAGAAAGAGAGATGCTTTTTATTGGATATGTCTAGAAAAAAAATATTTCTTTATGAGTTATAGCCCTCAAACAATGTGTACTGCTTTGGAAGCTACTCTTGGAAGAAGGAACAGCTTGTCCCCTACTGGCACCAGAGTGTATCTGCATTTAAATTTAACTGGATTTTGTCAGATTTATCCCATCGTGCATTTTTTTTCTGCGCCATTTCTGTATGAAATTTCACTTCTCCTGTCTCACAAAGGGGGAAAATATATCAAACCAGTCTTAAAGAACTCATTCTCAAGCTTAATTTCTTTATAGATGAAATTTGTTCAACTGAGGTTTTAACTTAATATGTATATTTAATTTTATTTATGTGTATAGATATATAAATAAATCTCCAGGACGCTATGTCACTATACATGTAAGACAGTCCTAGCAGAAGACAATGAAAGAGATGAAGTTTGGAAATATGGCTGCAGTCAGGTTTATACTTAAGAAAACATGAGCAGTGTCATGATGATGAAAACGATTCCTTAATTTCTGGGAGCACCTCATAGTCCAATTGGAGATGCACTGTCAAAACACCCTGAGATGAACCTTTCAGGTTTCCTTAAGAGAAAAAAAACGAACAGGTGCAGAACTCCCTGATTCCCGTGGGGTTATCCAAGGAACACTAACATCTCCTTAGGATGTATTGATTTTCCAGAACACAGTTTGGGAAATAGTACTCAAAAATAATAATATCCTTATCCTTAATTTTATTTTTAGTCTTGAAAACATAATTAGCTTATAAACTTAATTTTATGTGCCAGCTTTTTTAGCTAATTACATTATCAGTAAGTTCTACTTTATTTAAAAACAGGAAGTTCACAATCATAATAATGTAACCTTCCTCTCGCGCTTACAATAATAGTTGCGGTCAAATCGTGTTTCAGCACAAACTAAGCTCTGTCTCTCTCTTAAGTCCTCAGTTTTGACACTTACCGTATAATCACTGAATGTTTGCATTCAGCCAAGACACTAAATCCGTGGGTAAAAAACCACTCTACTTTGTCTAGAATCACAGCTTTTGAATTCAAAAGATTCTGATGTTTCAGTATATAGTTCAAAAGTAGTTTTAAAGATTAACCTTGCTCAGACAAGAAGGTTTCATGATTTTTTCCCCCAACCTAGTCTAATTTTTGGAAGTACAGTAAATTTTAATTTGCTCTCATTAGGTTATGAAAATGACTGGTGGGCTTTGCATGCACGAGGTCCTGCGTTCAATCCCCAGTACCTCCATAAAAAAATAAGTAAACAAACCTAATTACCTCCCAGCCCCCCCCAAAAATGTAAGCTCAGATATATGAATTTTTAAAAATAAAAATGATCATTCAGTACATTCATTATTGGTGAAATAAAGGTTTACTGAGAAAGTTATTTGTGCAAATTAACATTTAGGAATTATTTTGAAAAATGTTTATCATGAGGTTAGTTCTCAATGGGATAGTTGTTCTCAGTGGGGTAGGTGAACCTTAATAGAATCACTTATGCAACTTTTTCAAAATATATCTCTAAACACATGCATCCCACCCCCCAAAACACAGTCTCTATTGTCCTCTTTCTCACTCGAAGTCTCTCGTGCACACACACACCCTTTTGACAAGCTGGGAAAGGATGTGAGGCATGATTATACGAACAAAAGCATCCCAGGTGATTCTGATCTTATCTGTAACTTACTCATTCCTAAACTTTGCCGCACATTGAAGTCACCGGGGGAGCTTTAAATACAGTCCTGATGCCCAGGTCATACCCAGTGCCAGTTAAGACAGAACATCTCGAGGCAAAAGCCCAGGCAGTTTTTAAAGCCCCTCAGTTGATCTCAGTGTGCAGCCCATCTTGAGAACCACTGGTTAGAGTATAGAAGAAAGAGAACTGCTTCTGATAATTGGTGGGACTTTAAGCAAGGTAGTTTTAAGCCTCAGTTCTCTTATCTGTAAAATGGGTTGTTTAATTAAATGTCATCTAAGGTTCAATGGTCCTTTTCATCATATAACTTCTAATTCTATGATTTTAAAATCAATTTGAAGATGAAACTGTTTGAAGCACTATAGAAGTATCCATCTTTGATGCTAACAATGTTACAGGCATTTTTATAAGTGCTAAGATTCTATAGACCTTGTCATAAAATTCAGATTTGCCTTCCGTCAGTTATTTTGAGCTTCATTTTAGACACTGAGGACAAACGGAAGCATGTAACTTAACCAGAGAACCCCTCTGTTGCCTAATATACAGTATCTGTGAGTAACTTAGGTATATGATAATTTACAGTATCTGAGGACTTGTATCTCTCTATTCATTAATACTTTATTTAAAATAACTTGGAAATATCTGTCATTAATATATTGTGTAGTAGTATGCTGCATTATTAGCACTGCTTATTTCCGGATAGCTAGACCTAGCATCGGTTTTGTGGCTATAGAATTTTGCTGTTAAACTTTCTAGTTATGGAAAATGATTTTAAATCATTTTATTTGGTATAGAGATTATTTACTTTTAGGAAACTAATGGGAAGTAAATGGATAGGTGGATAACGAACTTAATCAATTGAAATTCAGGGCCTAATGAAAAACACAGAAAAACCAATGTATGGCTTAAATTTAAGCATGTGTACAAATAGATATAACTTGTACAGGATGAAAGGTTCTTTGGGTAGAAGGACAAATGGTGGGAAATGTGTAATAATTTATATATTATAATAATCAACCCAAACATATGCTCTAACAGCATGTCTAGCATTTTGGGTTCTCCTAATTTTGCTAAAAGCTGAAGAACCTAAAACAAGGGGGAAGCACCCACGTGGCACTATTCTGAATTAGAGGACTTCAGGGGCACCGGGCATCTGGAAAGTCCCTGCCAACCTGTTTTTGAAAAATGTATTCAGGCCTAATATAATAAAAATCAATTAACATTTCTTTATTTTCCCTCCACAGTGTGACCTTAGCAATATATTATCACATAAAGAACAGGTGAGCTCTTTTAAAACCTATCTGGTTATTCTAGCTAATTAATTTACGAGGTGTCAAGTTTAGTGTTGGGTTATAACTATAGGCATTTAAACCGCTGTTTAAATGAACACCATGTATTAGTGTGGTGAACCTTTAAATAAAAAACCTGGTCTCTCAAAATAAAAAGACAATTACATTTTTAATTTAAACTATTTAAAAGAGACAAGAAGAAATACACAATAAGTTTATAATATAAAGAACTAAGCGAGGGAAAAAAACATGAATTTCATACTCACATTCATTGAAGTTAGAAGACTTTATTGCCCACCACTACTGCCCTATAAAATGTTGTAATATATTCCAGTTTGAGGTTAGAGGAGTGAAAATATATTTGGTTTACTGGCATTGCCTGTTAGGGAGGGTCGGTGCTTATAAAGGCAACTCTGGCTGGTTGTTGCAAAGAGACTTCACAGAACTTGATATGCTGTGTAAAAATAGGAAACCTTTCTTAAGGCAGAATCCAGAAAAATTTATGAACTGTTTTGTTGAATGTCAAGCTTCCTCTATCCTCTCTCTACTCCCAGTAGATATTTTACTAAGATAGTAATTCTTGTATTAATTTTTTCAATGCACATTCTTATTTTATAGAGATGCAGATAGATCCTTGGATATTTTTGATGAGAGATCACATCCACTCACAGTAAGTGTCAGTTTTACTGAAGTTGTATTTTCCTCTTACATAGTTGTGTTTATTTCATGTTGATTTGCTTTGAAATTAATTACTGGAAGAAAATTACTCCCTCCAGTTTGAAGTCAAAATCATCTTCCTTTAAATCTTCCCCACCCCATGTTGTGTCTAATCATTTTACAAAAGGCATGTTGCATAAGAGGTGTGACTAAGAACTGACTTTCAGCTTTGTTATGATTAGTGAGCTAAGGTGAGTAGACATACCCAAATAACAGAAAATGTTTCCTTTTAAAAGATGATTTTTAGTAGCATCAAGCAATATAAATATTTTAAATAAACTAACAAATAAGGTAATACCTCTAAGAAGAAAACTAGAAAACTTTAAAAATTTTAAATCAATTAAAATGACAAAAGTGTAAAAACTCGTACGGCAGGTGACTACTCTATAGGACAGAACAGTCTTAGCGCCTTATGGTTACAGGACACTGAAAATATTTTTTCAAAGTTGATTGCAGAGAAGTATGATGACATATGGTTGATCAGCAAGACTTCAGAGTCTAAAAATAGTTTACATTTGGATAGAATTCTATGAGGAGGAAGGTGGAAATACATATGTTTTCTGAGGTTGTGCCTGTGTTTTTCTTGAATGAATAATGGTGAATATTGAATCACTATAGTATTTTAGGATCCTATTATTTCTATTCAAAAGACATGTCACCCAATCAAAATTATTTCAAGAGGCACACGGGTCCAAGTGTGAAGACTGCTGTCATTAGGGTACTTTTAAGTATTTTTCTTCGGTGGATACTTAACATTGCATTTTTTTCTTCTTTCAGCGGGAAAAGGTTCCAGAGGAATACTTTAAGCATGACCCTGAGCACAAATTCATTTACAAATTTGTTCGTACTCTTTTTAGTGCTGCACAGCTGACAGCTGAATGTGCAATAGTAACTTTGGTAAGATACTGTTTCTTTCATAAAGCATCTATAGAAATTTCTGTCTTGTACACAAAGCATCGTCCTGTTTTTCAACAGGAAGTAGGTTCCTGAAATGATCATCAGAACTTTAAGAGAAACCTATCAAAGGAAAATACATGCATTTGAGCTTAATCATCATCATGATTTAAAATGTTGCCATT